TCCCACGGTGCATCGCGTTAGCGGTGGCGTAATGAAACTGGCTGTGAGATGGGTATATTCAACTATAAGGTACAATAAACCTTTTTAATCACTGACATTTGTTGACCTTACCTCATAGCAACGCTTTCAAACCTACAGTTCAATGTCAGTGGCCAGGGGGAAGGCTTATAGAGCCTCAGGCCCCCTCCCCCCCCTCCCCCACCCCCCCCCCCCCCCCCCCCCTTCGCACCCCAAGTCATTACCACCCCAGTCGAAGTTGCGTCTCATCGTCCGTTTCACGAGACGTCTTCACCCTGCCGTCTCGCTCGTATTGCAGCCGAACTTCCTATTCTTGGTTGGTTTTACTGGCCCACTCGTTTCTTCTTGCCTCCCAAGCTTCTCGCAAACACATCTCACGCTGTTCCGCAGTCTCCTCGGCACGGCACTTTTGCTGCACGTCGGCGCGCTTTGGCCTGGTCCTCAGAATGCGCATGCGCGCAATGCTCGGCGCTCCTGGGTTTGAGATTGTGTGCCACCAAAACAGATCCGCCATCTTGTGTGTTGCGCGCAAGCCTCGTTTACCCATAGTTTTTTTTTTTTTTTTTTTTTGTGGGGAAGAGTTTTTTTTCTGCTTGCTTGGTTCAATGCGGAGCTAGTCGTCTGCTTACTGCGCAGGAGTTCCGGTGACGTCAGACTGACACCGATCTCTGATTGGCCTTGATGGAAAAAATAGGGGATAGACCTGAATGCTAGATGCCTTGAGGTCTACCCACCATATTTATTTTTTCCGTCGGCTCATGAGAGCTCGGCGTTCTGACATCAGCGCAACCCGTGTGCATGCGAGAAGCAGACGAACTTGCGCTCCGGATTCGTTTTTAACCAAGCCGTGAGTAGCCTCCTTAAAAGTTAATATAAAGTGACGCACGCAACGATTTTGACGAGAAGAGGAGACAGACACTTTTAATCGCGTGGACAGAGCGAACTTCGAAGCAACAACAACCATTGCGTCGGGGGATCGGTTGCCGAGGGGGCTAGCGCACACCAGCTCGGAGCACGTCAACGTTACTAAAACACTCAGTTGGGAAACTCGCCGTCGAAACCTGGGCCGCTGGCGTCCACCGAGACCGAGCTAAATGCGATAACAGCGCCCCTCTTTGTCACTTGTCTGTACTGTGGTCACCTTGAGCTTTTTGAAAGCCTTTTTTTGCGTAAAAACAAACAGAAAAGACTCTTTTTGTATGAAATTTATTGGAGTTTAGTACAAAAAAAGGGGGCGCGTTATGTTTTTAAAATCTTTAGTTTGCAGGGTTTTGCGGCACAATTAATATTGTTTTTATACAACCATGCCTCAGCGGTCCTTTCAGGTAGCGCGTCCTGACCTAGGTGCATTTTAACTTCGGTAGGTCGATGAGGCGCGTCCGCCGGGGAGACGGAGGTGGCACCCCTGTAACCTCTTCCGCTGTATCTGTTCTTAAAGCCAAAATAGAGGTCACGTGCAGTTCCTCGAGTGGCCGCTGCGGGAGAAATGGTGGCGTTGTGTTCGTCATTAGTTCGGTGCTCGGAGACAGATTGGGGTCGCTTTTTCAAAGCTGTCTCTATGGGAGTTTCCCAACTGAGTGTTTTAGTAACGTTGGAGCACGTGTAGCGAAAGCTCGCGCTGAAGAACCCAGGGGTCCTGGGTTCTTCAGCACTACTGCGTGATGAACATTAAATACCCCAGGCTAGCGGTCGTACTGCACTGGTAAAATTGCTTATCTACAGTGGGCAACAATGTCGCCACGTTCTGGCAGACTTGAATCCTGCTGTATAAACAACTAGCGACTAATTTGACCTTTTTTACTTTACCATTGCGGCGACGTTTTGTGAGCTTATCTGTGCTGATTTAATGCTTTTACCTTTAGTTTATGACATCAACTAATTTTGGTCTGTACGGCGTCTGCTATCACCTTCTGTCGTGACAATGTTTCTTTTGGGAAGCGAGTGGCATGGACTCATGCCGCTGCAACGTAGGGTTTGCTCGAAAGTATAGACCTTTCCAAAAAAAAAAAAAAAAAAATGGCTCCAGGCCGGTTCCATTTTCAGCGTTCGTGCGTATGGCGCGTGATTTGCTCGCTTTCCGAAGCGACACGCATGCGCGTGCTGGGGGTCCATATCACAAGAGCGAATGACGTTTCAGCAAACAGCGACATTTAAAGGGAAGATGGGGCACTTCTACATTTGAGAAAAAACGCTTGAATTGCGTTCATTTGGCCTTTAGAATAACAGATATCACAATTATATTTCAATGCGACGCGCCGGAGAGCCATAAGAGCCATTTGAAAATAGGGCTGAAGCCCCGCCCCCCTAGCCTTGGCAAGCCAAAAGATCCGTCGATGACGTCACGGACAGCGACTGTCTTTCGTGTTTTTCTCGCGTTTAACAATACTTGCGCGGCAAACGGTTTGGGTATTCGGGTTCACCAGGTAAAAATACACTAGAATTCACTTCTAACTCATTTTTTTCAAGAAGCTCCGTAGCTTCCCTTTAAGCGAATCGACGTTTTAGCGAATAACGGGGGCGCGCGTTAACCCATCCGCCGCGCTGCGCTTTACGACGCTTCGCGGCGACAGTCTGCGGCGGCTCATTACAAAAATGTGAACCCATTTGACCCACCCGAAAACGCCGCTTCGCGGCGTCCGACTGTTCGCTAAAGTGTCGTTCGGTGAAACGTGGGCTTTCGCTAAAACGTCATTCGATCAAGTGAGTGCCTCCCGGCGTCGTTTTGTACCTTTACATTCTCCAACATGAGGTCATGATCTTGATGAGCTTCGACATCTTCAGGATAAATAACTCAGCCTCTTGTGCTGGGCCACAAGACCTTTCAATTTTCTCGCGGTAAAAAAGAGGCCTCTCAACACCTCCTCATTGAAGAGGCGGAGTGCTGGGCCAACCCTCATCTTTTCAAAGCCATGCACAGGACCCTTCGGTGTGTCGAAACCAGTGTCTATAAAACCGATCTAGCAGATGCTTTACAGAGTGCGAAAAGTCCGAAAAAAAAATGTAGAGTACGACTGTCATGACTGCCTGCATTACATGAAGCGGAGTCTCCCTGTCACTGCTTTTAATGTAGCGGGCTCACGACTCACGCCGATCGAACTCGAGAGGGGCACGAAAAAGGGAACGGGCTTTTTTGCAGCGCCGGTAGACACTGTTGCAACCCGCCACGGGTCCCAGGAATTGAAATTAAGGGGGGGGGGGGGGGGGGGGGGGGGGGGTTCGGGGGGCACTGAGAATATAAGAGTCGTTGTGAATTCGGGAAAATAAGGGGGGGGGGGGGGGGAGGAGTACACCCCCGTAGGGAGGGGGATGTAGGGAAATCACTGCCCCGGCACAAAACACGTCCCGACTCTCTTGTCCCGCCGTTTTTCCGCCATTGCACGCGTTCAGCGCTCGTGTTGTCCCAACACGAGCGTTTTTCAGCGCTCGTGTTGTCCTGTTCTTTCTGTCCTATGTTCCGCGCTGTTCCATCTAGTTATACACCACAGCCTTGCCTTCGATCTGATGAAACCTACCGGACGGAGCGCCCGCAAGCCTGCAAAAAATCCTCCTAGACACAACCATCCATCTCGCAAGTGACATGTCACGCGCACCAATCGCCAGAGAGATCTGCGGTCACGCTGGGCAAAAAATCGTTTAAATTTTTTATGACTAGGCTTCACCAATATTGCAACGTGCCCCTTTCACCTCCGGCACTGTACCTCCGCTGAGGTGAAAGGGGCACTGACACATCAAAATCACTTTTTTTTTTTTTATTGTTTGAAAGGATTGAAAACGATGCCTGGACATTACCATCAAAATTTGAAACTTAAGAATTTAGTATTTAAAAAAAAAAAAAAAAAAAAAAAAAAAAACACAATTTCTAAATGCCGAATTTGAAGTTCCCGCGCGATCCGCGCAGTGGAGTGACGTCAACATTTGAGGGTTCCTGAGAGTCGACTCTCGAGTTTCTTTCGCGCCTCCGCTCCGAAAGCGAGGAGGTGAGAGCGAGGAGGAGGCGCGATCCAGCAATTGTCATAGAGATCAGTGGTCAACTCAGTTATGGAACTTCCCATAGACGCTGTACATTAGGAGCAGAGCCGTATATGTAGAGAGTTTGGCCATTCGTTGGGAAGTATAGGAGAGAAATGAGGAGGCGCCATTGGCCGAAAGCGGGCTGGGCGTGTTCCGGGGCGTCTTCAGAAATTCGAATGTGACCAACCAGAAGCCGGAAATAATACCCTGGCGGTGGTCGCGAGAAACAAACCTGATAACTGCATTGGAGTAACTCTCGATGGCTGAAAATATGGTACACGTGATGTTTCAGTCACACTCATCTAAAATGATGGTGGAAGAGTGCGACTAGCGGAAAGATCGACATAACCCTTACGCCAAACGCCGAGCGCCGGGAATCTGCCGTCAGAGCGGTCACACTCTGTCCGCGCAAAACAGAGTTGAGCGGTGCATTCGTTTCTTACATCTTTCTGCATGATCATGATGAAACAACACGTACACCCTATTTTCAACCACAAAGAGTTACTACACTTCACTCTTACGCACTTATTAAAACCATATACGAACATTGACCTTCGATGATCGATCGGCTCAGAACTGTTTCTCGCTACCACCGCTAGGGGATTCTTTTCGGCTTCTGGTTGGTCAAGAGAGCATGCCAAGCCCTCTTTCCGAGCCTGCCGCACGCCCTGGCTCTGCCCGCGCCTCCCATTGACCAAACTCTCTACATATACGGCTCTGAGTTGACTGAGGTGATCTAGTAACGGTTATCGGTAACGGTCGTAACGGTGGAGTCGAATGGAACGGCCAAAACGGCCGGAGAAGCTTTCGCGCGCTCGCGCGCTTCAAGATCTCAAAAAACATAAATTATGATTTTGGTTCTTAACTTTAATGCTAGGTGGCGCAAGCTACCGCCCAATATAATGGGGGTACAGTTGTTAGCATTTATCAGGCATTTATTTATCTATCTACCACTGCGGCTATATATATATATATATTTTTTTTTTTCTTGACTTAAAGATGGTGACCAATATGGGTGTGCTAGCCGTGTGACACAGCAGCAACAGTTCGACATCGTTCCAAAGAAACCTCCGTGCTGCGCATCCGACTCCACCAAAAACGCCCCTCATTTTCACCGCCACCCTGAGATTGAGAGTCAGAGAGGCCTCGTCAAAATGCTCGACGACCACAGCATCAACTTGACCGACGATGAAGATGATTTTGAACATCCTACCAGCCCTCTTGAACTCCAAGGAACCTTGTGCAAATGGACGAATTACATCCACGGCTGGCAGGATCGGCACATCGTTCTCAAGGATGGCACGTTATCGTACTACAAGTCGGAAAATGACACAGCTTTCGGATGCCGCGGCGCTATCAGCATATACAAGGCAACGGTCAAGGTAGGGAGGTCGCTAGGCCTAATTGATATTTGCTCGCTGCATAACCGTCCTAATTTATTATTCAGGTCGTTTTAATGTAATTAATCGTCGGCGTGTTTCATTCGCGTCATGCATCACTGTTATTTCAGCCCAATGTACTGGTAAGGCAGGATGTTAGCGTCGTTTTAGAGCGGCTCGGTGTTTGTTCCGCACATGAAATGTGTCGATTGGACGTTTTCATTGCATTTTCATGTTTCGCGCCGTCGCTACCGTACGGAGATTCCGGTTTTGGATTGATTATCTGAAAAATCTGATGTTTTCCGAGGTCAAGGCGGCATTTTATCTGGCTACTGCTCGTGACGAGCAATGTTTACCTAAAAAGGAAAACTGAGTAAGTCGCAAGGTATGCAAATACTGGACATAGTGCTACCGCATTCCGTGCCTCTTTGAAGATCGCCGTCGTCTGCTATGCTACCCGCTGTTTGATACTGTCGTCTGCTGTTCTATTTTGCGTAGATTCAAGCGATAAACAAATGACTCAAAGCATCGCCCGAGTTTCCTTGTTTGAAAGACAACGCCCCCTCAAATGACGCCCGAGATACATCTTTTTTTTTCTTGTTTTGTCTTTTTCTGCTTGGGGGGTGGCACGAGTTCCGATTTCTGATAGGGTTTGTCTGTTTGTTTGCAAACGGTCGAGCGTATTTGGTTTTTCATTGGTCAGTTTATCTAACTTCGACAAGATCGCTTTTGTTTTATTTCGTCAGCATTGGTGACTAGACTGCGTTGTTCCGTCTTCCAAAGTGTCTACTGCCTTTACGTCTCCTGGTTAATAAATGTGAGTTGTGGCTCCAGTCAAACAGGCACGAACTTTCCACCAACATGCTGTCATCTTTGGCTTGTCATACACTTACTAGTCATTAACTTACTTTTCTGGCTGATTTCTTAGCTTCAATCTTAACCACTTATGAACATCCATAATTACAAAACTTGAGTTATATCGTTACAGCTGCTCTTGCGATGGTTTTGTTATGCAGCAGTAATTTCGACAGACTCGTTGAAAGAAAAAGAAGAATTTTATTAGTTGAAGCAAGTGGCACATTGTACACTGGCCTGTGTGTACACTTGTATCTGGTGTCTAGCATGTGGGATCAAAAGTAACGAAGTAAAAGGAAAAAAATAAAATGTCAGTCATAATTGCACTTGGGTAAAGCAACATCAAACTGGAGGCTACAAAAAGAAAAATTAATTAGAACACAGTGCATGCAACATTTTACCATCAAGCCTCTTTATACGAGAACCATGTGCACACTTCTACACACTAAGGTGACATGGTACATGATGAGAGGTCGTTGCACGAAACTGTAGTCGCTATAAACTCGAAAACTAAAGTGTCTTCTGGGGATACAGTGGGTAAAACAATATACATACAGAATGCCCCCCAAACATTGTTTTTTTCACCACAAAAATAAACTGAATCACCGAATGCTAATTTTCTGCCCAAATGTTGCGGCAATCAGTTCCATGTATACAAATCTGCAAGTTCAGTTTTGGAGCGCCGCCATCTTGCTTAGTTGGGTGCGCTTAGGCGCGTCATAATCCATTTATGACGCCTTGCTAAGGCGTTGTATTTGGATTATGGCCACGCCCATGCACACCTTAACTGAGCAAGATGGCAGCTCCCAGAAGATCTACTTGCAAATGTGTATACAAGAGCTGCATTGGCCACCATTTTCCCCTAGAAATTCAGAGAAAATCCCTTTTAACTTTAGAATGAGGTAACGGCTAGTTCTGAAACTTCATCGTCTGGTTCAGATTGCTAGTGCTACTTTCGTGCGTAAAATGAGCGTTCGGCGATGCATTATTTAGTTTTGCTATGAAAAAATCGCTGTACATTTTTTAGGGGACATTTTCTATATTTCATAAGAGTAACTTGTACCAGAACCACAGCAAAGAAGTTTGTTAAGCCCATGGCAAAATTAAATGACACAACACATGTTTGTAACATGTGCAGACATGCAATTTTCAAACTAACTTATATACGGGTCATTCTCCAGAAAATTAAACATTAATGTAACTGTGAAGCGACTTTCAAATGCCTTCCTCCCCTCATTCCTAAAATATAGTTTGTATAGCATAGAATCAGGGTGTACCAAAAACATATATTTGCAAGTTCTCATAATAAAGACTATTTTAGAAAAAATTTAGTTTAGATTGCATCCTATGTGTAATTTCAGCATTTGTTTTGTATCTGCCAACTACCATGCAAGTTTTAAAGGCCGGAACTTTTGTTTTAATAAAGTAATCTTTTATAAGTTTGATTTAAAATATTGTACACCTGCATCAGCTCCAGTTTGTATGATCTCAGCTCCCAGTGTTGCTAAAGTATTTAAATTTTTACGAATTTTAAAAAAGAAACGAGTGTGACCGACCTGAATGTTAGTGGTATAGCAAAAGATATACAAATTTATTTAAAAACTTCTGCCAACCATATTCAGTTTGTAAGTGGGCAAACTGTTTAAAATATTTTCAGGAAAGTGTTACAATGAGAGCCATTCGCTGTCGGCCAAAAGTTAAAAATTTATCAGCTTATAAATAAATACAAATAAATGTGTTCCTTTTTGATGTGTCAGTGGTGTAACAAATCTCTTATGTGCTGTTTTTCATATCTCGATGAGAAATAACTTGCAGTGACAAAACAGATGTACATTCTTGTGGTGTTAAAAATATTAAATTCAAACTGTTGATCTTTTTTTTTTATAAAAACAATTGATTTTTTTCAAATCGTCAGTTGTATAACAACAGTTGTGTTGCGAATAAATCTCAGCACGAGTCAAACGTATGAGCTAAAAAAGTTTATTCTCTTATTGGTTTTCAGTATATAATCATGCTACTTCATAGCCAATTCGATTTTTTAATGACAGGCACAAAATGCAAGGTTCACTGCCCTCCATGCCACTTGCATTCACAACCCCCCACTGTATGCTTTTTACATGATAAATTTACTTTTTTGTTTGTGTAAAGATACCAAACTGTTCATCAAAAACTGGGCATGCTCCCAAATGAATAATATGGTGCTTTAAAATCTTTTGCAAATGAAGCAGCCCTCGCAAGAATATTTTCTAATCTAGAAAAAAAATTTGAGTCTGTACGTACATATTATCCATGTTATTGCAAATATCAATATTGCAAAATGTCAACGAAATACATTCTGATAAGCACAAAAAAAAACATAAAATAGTTATCTATTTTATTTTGAGTATGTTCTACAATATTTGTTGTTAATAATATAAATAAACATCTGGGAGCTCGGCTGTGTTTTCTATGAAAATAACAAATTAATTACCTATTGATCAGGACAAGATAGTAAACTAAAGTCAATGTCACCAAATTTACTTCTTATGAACCTAAATGTTTAATCTTTGGGAGAATGACCCATACAATCTACGACATGCCATCTCAGCACACCATTGTTTCAGTAAGTTTTTTCACAGGTCTTAACAATTCCATATTACTCAGTAAACTTGACGATTATTTTCTGAAATAATAAGAAACATAATGTTTCCTCAGCTTTCTTCCATTATAGTTTGTAATCAAGGAACAGGAAATACTTCTGTATGTTTGAGTTATTCCTGTTTATCAGCTTGAATTCTTAAATTGAAATTCTCATGGTGTTTAGTTAAAATTACACATTTGTGTAGTTTGTCTAATAATAAAGCTGTTTTTTTTTATTTTTATTTTTACTTCATTCATGAGTAATAAAGACCCTTTGCAATTATTTTATTAATTTATTTTTGTTTCTTAATATACTAGTACCAATTTCCCTATATAGAATGGAAAGTTGGGTGAGTTGTTAAAGGGCAACTCCGGTCCATACTTTCGATTTTGGGATTGTGGCTGTTTTTAGTGCAGTTAGTGCCCCTGAGTTGCAAGGTGTAATTTTTTTCTCGTTATTGTGCGTAGTTTTAAAGATATCGACGTCTCAAAGTTTTGTTTGGGGCGCGGCCGACAAAACCGAAACTAGCCGCTCGAGGTTCCGGCAACACTGGAAATCAGCCGCTATGTGGACGTGACGTCAAGATCGTTCTCGTTCAGCGAGTACGCACGGTACGCAGTCCAAGCGGCACCTACCTCTGTTGCGCTAGTCGTCTAAAGATAGAAGGTAAACTGATTTTGTTTTAATTCTGTATATGTGGTAGTTATCCAGCATATGTAGCAAGAGTTAGTGCGTATACCCAAAAGCTAGCGACTGGAAAACCCGTCAACTCGTCCGGTGGCCGCCGCCGCCGCCGCGCGTGCCGTACTCGTTGCTTGTATACCCAAAAGCTAGCGACTGGAAAACGAGTGAACTCGTTTGGTGCCGTACTCGGCAGCTGTCGGCGTGCGTGCGGTCTCCCGCACTCGTCGCTAGGCCTAAATTGTCATCGGGGCTCCGTGGATGGAGCGGCGTTGCTCTACGCCGCGCTGCCAGTAATGTACAGTGCTGGCGCTTTCGCGCGGCGGGTCAGTCCCAGACACGAAGCTTTGAGGCTCTCCGGCGCGTTCCGCAACAACCGAACAGACGTGTGTCAAGCTGTAGACGTCTGTTTTTTCGTTATTTTTTCCTCACGTGCGTAAAAGCCGAATTTGTGAGCTACGACACTAATTCACCACATAAGTTCGTCCAGGTAGTGAATCTTTGTACAAATAAAAAAAAAACTGCCGCACTAAAAAAAAAAAAAAAAAGAAAAGTTCTTTGGGCAGTCATTTTCTTCTCAAAGCTAGCAACAGTTTTTGTGGGTGATAAAGGAAAACGGGGAACGTTAGCAAGGTGAAAACACTTTCTTTCCCTTCCGCATTCCCACCCCCACCCACAACAATTTTTTTTATTAGAATACATAGGATTTTAAGTTTTCCTTCGTAACTTTTAACTAAGGCAAGTGTTTTTTTGTTGTTTTTTTTTTTTTGCATTTTTAAATATTATATTTACCTCCAGCCGAACTCGGGCAAATTAGAGAGTTGTAACTTACAAATCCGAACTTTCG